ATATATATATATATATATATATATACCAAACTGAGAATTGACTTTGATAAAAGGACCTGTTAAAAATAGTACAAAAAAGTAAAAGTTTGATGCACTACTACAATAAAAATGGTTCTTAAAAACCAGAAAACAAAAGTTCTACAAGCCTATTTGATGAAAAGGATTTTGGTTTGAAATTAATTGTAAAAATAGTACATAAACTACATATTTGTCCATATCAAATAAACAGGATTCAGTCGAATAGATAAAGGATTGGACCTGTTTATAAGGACATGGGTTAGTAGAATAATTGATGTGGGTGTCATGTCCCGATAACTTGGAACTCAGAAGTCTCCATCATGTATCAAGTCTGGGGTTAAGCGTAGAAATTTTAAAGAGCCCAATCATCATTTTGGAAAATTAATCATTTGGTTTTTGAAGTCTCCAACAACAGGTTGAAGAAACGTATCCAAAATCAAAATACACTTTATCTATCTTTTAATACACATTTTTTAACCGGATTTTTAAACAACTCAGTAATTAATCGTTTTATGATTTGTTTGTAAACAGTACAAAAGACACAAGGTTGCTGTAACAGGCGAGGAAAGCTGGAAGAGTGCAACGGAAGGCCCAACGCGCACTAATACTGTAACATCTCATCATCTAAACCCAGTTATTCTCCAAGTAGTCACCAGATGGCAATATACCATTATCATCTTTTCCTGTTGTTTCCCTCATGGCCAGCTGGTGGTGATCTACCTCATACTCTCATGCCATAAGACTGTTGTTCCTCTCCTTAAAGACAGGTGGCAACCCGTATCCATACTTACCTCAGTTCACCTGTAATCAACCTCATTCACTGCACCTGTGTCTAGGCCTATATATACTCTGTGTTTGCTATGCTCCATGTTCAGTCTTGAATCTTGCTCCCGTGGTTTCCTGAGCTAAGTACCTGCTTTGTTCTGCTGATTATATATGGATTTTGCTTTTGTTAAGTACTTCTGTTAACCCCTGCTTTAGACTCTCATGTCTACTTATTTTGTTATTATTCGGATGCTATGCATTCTTGTTTTTTGTTGATACTTTTAGTAAAAGACCTATTTTTCGAAATCCTTTTTGTCTCCCTATTTTTGCATCCTCTGCAACTGGGTTCAACACACAGCTGGGATTGCTCAAACAGGAGCACCTTGCCACTAGAACACTGAGACCTGTGTTTGATCGTTACTCCTGGTGGCATTTCACATCCAGCGAATCGTTACAGCAAGACTGAACCAAAAATGATGAACCCAGCGGAGGACGCTCCTCAGCCTTCCAATGTGGATCGAATTCTAACAGCTTTAGCCAATCAAGCCACTGCTATTCAACATCATGAGCAGATTCTGGCCGACATTCTACAGCGTCTCAGTACCCAATCACAGAACCCCCCTCCTCGGGAATCCCAGGAACTTC